TTTTAGTGGGTCTGTCCCCCCCCCCCCCCCCCGGGAAGCATTCTGTGTTTTTGTCTCATAACAGCAATAGGTAAACTCAAGGGGCTTGATGACCAAATTTCTAGGTCAGATGGTCGGTCGGTCGGTCGGTCGATAGATGCACTTGGATTTGGCGGCAGGGATGGGGGTCTTTAGAGGACTTCTACATACCCAGTGCAACACTACTGCTCCTGAAGGCCTCCAGGAACAAAAGCCGACTAATAAAAATTACAGAAAAAAAAACATATATTCAGGAGGCATCCTTGGACAAGGGAAACATGAGGCTCACAGATTATCTATTGCCTACTTCTGGTCTTCAATAAAGGTGGTGCAGAATAAATCAGAAACTATTTAAAGTTTAAAAATAATTACTGTTTCTTGAAAGAGTAAATGGAATATTGTTTAGCATGCCCCTCTTCCAGTAGCTGACATACTTAATCACAGCCATAAGAGATTTTGTAGCTTCTGCTCTACCGATGTACAGTGCAGAAACATTTCTTTAGAAAAACTGGTCATTGTTTATGGGTACAATATTAAAATATGTGCAACCAAAGTAACTCAGTATACTCCAAATATAGAAGAAACCTTGCCTATTCCCTCCTCTTTATTATTTTCATTGCACTTCTCATTCACTTGGGCTTTTTTTTGGCAATACAGTGGTGACTCGCTTTACGATTGCCCCACATTATGACAAAACTGTATTATGACGATCTTTTTGCGATCGCAATTGCGATCGCAAAACGATGGACTGAATGGGGTTTTTTCGCTTTGCGATGATCGGTTCCCTGCTTTGGGAACCGATTGTTTGCAAAACGACGATTTTCCTCCAGCTGATCGGCGGTTTCAAAATGGCTGCCGGGTAAATAAAATGACTCCCCGCTGTTTTCTGGGACGGATTCCTCGCTGCACAGGCACAGAAAATGGCCGCCCTATGGCGGATCTTCGCTGGACGGTGAGTTTCCAGCCCATTGGAACGCATTGAAGAGGTTTCAATGCGTTTCAATGGGCTTTTTATTTTCGCATTATGACGTTTTCGTTCTACAACGATTTCGCTGGAATAAATCAATGTCGTAATGCAAGGCACCACTGTAGTACAGTTAAGAAACTGATGGCTTCCATTTAGAAACTGATAACAAGTCCTTCTGACAGTGTAATTATGGTTGTATTTTTCCTTTTGTTTTTGCAGGCACTTGAAATAAGGGAAAGTTGCAATTGCCCTGCATTGCCTGGTCAGGATCCACGCCTTACATTCAAACAGAGAATGCAGCATCTCCTGCAAACATCTCAAAAAAAGAAAGTCTCAAATGTTACTCCTCAGGGTCAGGGCAAAACAGAAGTGACTCTTCCGGTCAGTAAAAAGGAGATGCCTATAGACATTGTGGCTGACAAAGGACTTTCAAGGTGAAAGCAGAACCTCTTATTTAGTTCATTGTACCCAATTGTTTATTATACAAGGCTTTTCTGCTTTTAAAACGTCATGGATTTTGAAAAAGCGGCATGGGCACATGTTAATGAATCATGTTGTGACTGCAGTGTCTGTGTAGAACTCCGCTCTTCCATAAACATACAGAAGAAATGGTTGTTGTTGTTGTAAGTTTTTTGGGCTGCTTGGTTGTGTTCTTGAGCTTTTTCTTCCTAACGTTTCACTAGTCTCTGTGGAGATGTTTTGCTAGCACCTTCAGGAGAAAGTTAGTTATATGCTACTTGAGGAGCTACATGTTGGAAGCAGGTCATTCTGTAAGTGAACATTGGAAATTCTTGGTTGCATGGGAGTTTGGATGACACCCAACACAGCACTGCAGTAAGAACAGAAGAAGAGCCCTGCTGGATCAGGCCCAGGGGGCCCATCCAGTCCAGCTCCCTGTATCTCACAGTGGCCCCACCAGATGCCGCTGGGAGCACACAAGACAACTAGATACCTCTCTACAGATCCCCCTCCCCTGCATCTGGCATTTTGAGGGACCTACCTTTTAAGCTTGGAGATTATACATCCCCATCATGGCTTGTAACGTACGCTGGACTTTTCCTCCAGGAATCTGCCCCATCCCCTTTTAAAGACATCTAGGCCAGATGCCCTCACCACATCCTGTGGGAAGGAGTTCCACAGACTAACAAAATGCTGGGTGAAGAAATATTTTCTTTTTTCTGTTCTCACTCTCCCAATTGGAGTGGATGTCCTCTGGTTCTAGTATTGCATGAGAGGGGAAAAGAGCTCCCCTCTATCCACTTCATCCATCCTCTGCATAATTTTCTCCATAAGAAATTTTACCACGCAGAGGCATAAATCCAGCATCATCCCAACTGTACAGTCTGAGTGTGACAGAGCTTCTTTCCCCTCCACTCAATGGGATAGAAAGCTCTCCCTGCCACCTACCCCATTCTCCTGAAACCTCCTTTTTTACCAGCAAAAGTCTTGTGTTTTATGTTGAACATGTAACTTAACAAAGAGAGTAAATTAAAAGACCTCCACTTCAGTATCGCAGTGGGATGTGGGGGTACAGGAAAACCTGGACAACAGCTGCATTGTTGTTCTAAGTTCCTTCCACTGGTGCTTGTTGGACCACGGATCTGTTGATTTGTTGCTGAGAATGAAACAGTCTTCCTTATTTCTTCCTCCTGAGCTGACTGTAAGCTCAGTTAATTGTGTCCATTTCGTTTGGGAACTAATGATAAAAACTCACTGCCTGTTACAAGATTCAATAAATTGACCAGTGGGCTGGCCAGAATGTCATCTAATTGGTTGATTTACTGCGGAGGTTCTCTTGCTTTGTACTTTAAAAAGACAGATTGAGTCAACACTTCAAAGCACTTGTACAGCATTAGGTCAAGTTTTGCTATTTGAAATCATGTAGCACTGAGCCTCTCAAGTAAACAAGTTTTATTGGTTATCGTATAACTTGCTCTGAACAGACCGGCACTTGGTTGCCTGGTAATTAGATGCTCCAACAGACTTGCCAAGGTTGGACAAGATGTCGTGAGGTGCTTGCCAGGCAATTAAAAGACAACTGGGCATCGGCTACCGTTTTCAAACCATGTGGTCCAGAGACAGTGCTGCTACTCTGAAGCAAGTGCCTTGAAGCAAAGCATCTCTGATAACCCCAACGGGAGTCTAATAATTTATTCAGCTGATTCTTTTGCATTGTGTTATTCTTCCTCTTTTTTGCTTTCTAACTTTTACTGTTTCACAGAGTCCCTCATTTTTGCCCTTCTATTCTTTTGAATATTCCTTTAGTCATGTTGAGTTGCCAGTGTGGTGTACTGGGTAGAGTGACTGACTGTCAAGGAGCTAGAAGTCTTTAATCTCCCAAAAATAGAACAGAAGGCTTGCTCCATTATATAGAAATAAATAAACGCTATATAAGATTCTTCAGAAAAAGGGATACTTCTCAGATTACAGTCAAGAACAGGTTCCATGTTTTATTGCTGGTGTAATATTTTCCTGGAACAAATTAAGAGTATTTGTGCATCCCTACTAAAGACCTAAGGGCTCATGATAATTCAGTGGCAGCAGTGTGGTGTTTTTCCCCCCATTCCCCCCTCCCTGAAGAAAATATTTTTAAAATGAAGACAACTGCATTACATAAGTGTAAACAATAATAAAATATGTATATTTCAGAAGGATTTATGAATACATTTGCATAAATAATGATCTGAAGATAATACTGTCATATCCATCTGCATAGCTACAGACCTCTTTGATTCAAGATTTTAAAGTACTAGACCAGTTTATTTCTGAATAACTGCACAAGCTTTACAGACTGGCACCTCAAAAGTATTTTCAGTGGTTCCATCTTTGGCTTCTCTGTCCAGACTAGACGTTTGCCAGGCATATCCCTCCTCTAACGTTGCACAGGCTTCGTACAACACAGAATTCAGCTTCTTGTTTCTCCTCTGCCTCAAATTCCTCCATCCTCTGCTTCAAGAAAAATAAAACGGAAAATGTTTAAAGATACACATACTGTTAAACGGCAAATTGTGAAAGAGTGAGAATGATTTCTTTTAATTCACAGAAGTGTTCTAGCTGCCTAGAGTGGTCTTACAGGCCAAAGAAAGATTTCTTTTAGTTCACAGAAGTGTTCTAGCCGGCTAGAGTGGTCTTACAGGCCAAATGGGCGGGGTATAAATCAAATAAATAAATAAATAAAATTCTTGTGTCTTCAGTTCCTGAAGTTTAATATGAATTTCAGAATCAGTAGTTACAGCTATTGCATGTGCTGCTCAAAGAAATACATTAAGAATAGTCAAAATGCTTGAAATACTCAAAAGTGTTGATTTATGATGCTGCATTCCTTAAACCAGGAATCTTGGCTTATCAAACCACATTAGCTGAAATTCTGTTCCTTAGCATAATAGATTGCTCTAAAGTAGGTCCACTGAATCAAGGGAATTTATGGAAGAACTGATTCTCCAAGTCCCAGCTGATTCAATAGGCCTATTCTAGTTGCAACAGAATTTCAGCCATTATATATGAATCTATGCTGGTGGATACAGTCTATTCCTTTTTCTTTGGTGTTCTGGCTTGCATAAGTCATTCAGCAAAGAGGCACTGAAGTCATAGTCTGGACTTCAAACCTGGAATTATGATTTATTCCCTGTCACCCCCACCCCCCAAACAAACAGGAACTATGGAAGTATAAGTCCAGAATTTATTGTCAGTTTATATAATCTGGCCTGTTTGGGAGCAAGGCATAAGCTTCTTGTGTACAATAAGCTATAATAATGGATTGATACAGAATGTTAAACTGTGGATGCCTGATTTATTTTCTTATTTTCTTTCTTTCGAGTGGAATGAGCAAACAGACACCATGCTGAGAAGCCTGGCTTTAAGTGTTATGTAAACTCAGTCAGTGCAAAGTTATACTGCAGCATTTTGCTAGACATAACATGGGAACAATGTTCTTGTTAATAGTAGAACTATCTTGTGAGACAGCACAGCGTTTCCTCTGTTTAAATTGCCTCTTTGTTTGGAATTTGCTTTTTAAAAAGCAACTGGAATTGACAGTGGACCAACAAGCTTATAAATTGTTTACCAATTGACTTTTAAATGAAGAAAACAAAGCTACTGGCGAATAATCCCACCTTTCTAATCTATTTGGAAGAGAAATTTTCAAAGTTTGCTTTGCTAGACCTGATTCTATGTCTCTTCATGTTGCAATGTTGGTCCTAAGCCTTCTATAGATCAGTGTGATCAGGACAGTGATCTTCAGCATTTCCCGTCTCTTCATTAAATTTTATTTGTGGTAACATTATTATTTATTTTTGGAAAGCAAAGCTCAGAAATATGTTAAGCTATTGGGATGCTGATACATGTAGTAAGCGGAAAAAGACACCTTAAGAGAGTCTTCCTTAGATACTATATAGCTTACATAAAATACCCAAATATCTAAATAAAAAGGGCACACACACCCTGTTTCCCTGAAAATAAGACCTAACCTGAAAATAAGCCCTAATATGATTTTTCAGGATGCTCGTAATGTATGCCCTACCCCAAAAATAAGCCCTAGTTAAGTGAAACCCCACCCTCCACCATTGTACAGCAACCAGAAGATGACATGACTGTATTTGAATAAATGTAGATTGTCGTACATGGAAAAAATTAAAACATCCCCTGAAAATAAGTTCTAATGCTTTTTTTGGAGCAAAAATTAATATAAGACCCTGTCTTATTTTCGGGGAAACATGGTATTACAAGCACATGAGTCTAACAAACCCAGGTTTGTTTTTAATGAAAAGTTTGTTTTATTGGTAGACTGGAGCCTCTTCTTCAACTGCGTATGCAACAAAACCAGTACAGTATTGGATATTAGCATGGGACCAAGTCTGAAAACACAAAACGGGCAATGTTGTGGATGTAGCCACTACAGTGACACTGTTCAATACAGACCAAGGGTATCTTAACAGGTGCAACTCCCCACATAACTGCATTCAACAATTAACTTTCTGCTCCATTACCAACTGACATTCAGTAGGTTTCTAGTTAGAAAGAAGACATTATTAATAATGATGCCGGTGGATGGAATGCAACAGATTTGGGATCAGGTTCAAGATCCTGAAAATACAAAAGGCTGGACTTGGGTGTTTGTTCTTGTGATAACCACTCTTTTTTCTTTCAATGTTGTTGTTTAATTGTTAAGTCGTGTCTGACTCTTTGTGACCCCATGGAACAGAGCACGCCAGGCCCTCCTGTCTTCCACTGCCTCCCAGAGTTTGATCCAATTCATGTTGGTCACTTCGATGACACTGTCCAACCATCTCGTCCTCTGTCGTCCCCTTCTCCTCTTGCCTTCACACTTTCCCAACATCAGGGTCTTTTTCAGGGAGTCTTCTCTTCTCATGAGATGGCCAAAGTATTGGAGCTTCTGGTGTCAAACATGACTCAAAGAGGAAATGTCCTTTCTGCAGTCACCTTGATGAGTAGGCATTGATAGCCTTAATTTCCATCCATTTGTCTTAATTCCCTGTGGACCCACAGGATCCTCCTCCTGGGGGCCCAGCAGCTGAGGAATCTCCTGGAAAAAGTTCCATTGGTTCCATCCTGGTTTGGTCACCCATGGCAGCTTTTAATTAAAGGCACAGAGTCAATCCGTTTCCCATGTGCCCAGGGAGTTTAGTTTCTGGTACTAACCGTCTCCCCTGGGCATAGTCAGTCAAGCTAAGGCCTCAGTTGAGTTCACTAGTCTAGGTTTGGAAAAGGAGGCATGAGGTATGAGTCCCAATCCAGGGCTCAGTCCTTTTAGCGAGGGATCACATTCGCTTTTAAAGCCATCAAAGTTGCTGTCCATAATTACTTTTTTCTCTTTGACTGTGCATTGTGTGATTGATGTTGATCACAGAGGTTCTAGTATTATGAGAGAGGATGAATTCCCT